CAAACGCCTCCGCCTCCTTGGGACTGTTCGCAAACAAGTGTTCCTTGACGAGCCTGGCCGGCGTCTCCCCGAGCCACTGAAACAAGCTAAAGTCCTGAAACTTGTCGGCGCGGAATATCTCGAGCACCTCGACCTCCTCCTCGTCGCTCAGGTTCTCGATGAAGTGGCCCATGTTGCGCGGGATGACGCCGACGTCGCCGGCTTGGAAGTCAAAGGTGCGGGCTGTGCCTTTGGCGGCGAAGATGGTGACGCGGGCTCGGCCTTTGATGAAGAAGGACCATTCGTCTGCGTTGGCTGGGGGAGTTGTTAGTGTGGGGGGTTTGAGAGGGGTAAGGGAGGGAGGGAGGAAGGAAGGAAAGAAAGAAAGAAAGAAAGAATGGGGGTGCGTACGATGCCAGTGCATTTCACGGATTGCTCCGGGTTGGATATTGAGATGTGCGGCTGCTACCGTCTTTGATATCGGGAAATTTGTCGAGTCGGTGATGCGGACTTGGCCACCAGTCGTGTTGACTGGTTCCTGATCGAGCATGCGATGGGTAAACTGTAGTTTAGACTTTCTGTACCCTTTGCTCCCGCTCGGAATCTCATGCTCAATCTTTCCCGGTTCACTGCCTTGGAAAATATACTTTTCCTTTTCTGGAATCGCATCAAAGACTTCTGGGGCAACGCGAAAGTTCTCTCCGAGCACAGACTTGGGCGTCAGACGCATCCAATCTGTGAGCAGAAAGGTCGAGTCCTCGGAGAAGTTGCCGTCGTCAAAGACGAGCAGGAATTCAGTGCCGTTGGGACTTAGGCCCTGTAGGGAATGCGGGTGGCCAGATGGGAAGTACCATAGATCCCCCTTTTTCAAATCGTCGACAAAACTTCCACCCTCCGCGTCGAGTGCAGTAATGCGGACTTCGCCTTCGAGTACATAGGCCCATTCGGCTTCCTTGTGCCAGTGCAATTCGCGGATGACGCCGTGATCTAGACGCATGTTTACGCCAGCGAGTTCCTTGCTGGTGCCGAGCTCGCGGACAGTGGTCTCTCGGGTCCACCCGCCTTCTTCAATGCGGATGTGGGAATCGGCAAAGGACCATCTCATGTTGGGGATTGCCCCGTGATCTGTGCTAGGAGGACGGATGAGATCTGGATTCTGGCGTTCACGGCCGCGATTGCGGGGACCGAGAACGCTGGCACCATCGCCGTTGCGCTGGAGATGTTGTTAGTAAGAGATTTGGAGATGATTGTTGATCTCATGTCAGACATGATGAAATGTGGGTATGGAGGTTCTGGTTGTGTAGATGGAACGTACATAAGGCAACGGCTGTAAATTGTCACCATCTGAATCGACTTTCCGATCATAAGGATCCGTGACTCCGGGTTTGTATGGGTCCGAAACCTTGTGAGGCCCAGCATGTCCTATATTGACCACTAGTGGTTTCTGAGGTTCCAGAGGTGCAGCTAGGGCACCACAGACGCTCAGCGTTACCAAGAGCAAAGGAAGATGCATGGCTCCTTCAATTGAATCGAATATATCTTGATCAATCAATCAATCAATCAATCAATCAATCAATCAATCAATCAATCAATGACCAAGTATGGGAGTGTGAGAAGCAGCAAAAGAGTCTCCACCCGCCGGCACCGGGAGAGTTATGTTATGACTGTGTTGTGCACAGCGAGCCGTGTTCCGATGACGACACAACAAGCTTTACCGGTATCCATCATTCATCGCTTGGCCACACGCTAGTAACCATCCCTCATCATCTCCCCAGCTATTCCCCCACCATTTTTCCACGCATCAAAAACGTCACGAACCAGCCTTTCCCGACACAACTCCTTAGCAAACTGCAGATTGTTTCAACCCTGTCGCCACTCGTTTCCTTCATCTGGAAGGTTTTCAGCACGTAAATCCCACGTGTATCCTGCAATTGCCGTTGCATGTCCGCACACGAAAAGCTTGATTGAAGCTTGAGCAGACTGGTACCTGAACGATCTGCACTGTCTCGTACGCGTCCTCCGGGGATAGCACGGCCTGTTTTCTTGAGTCTTGCTCCAATCGATATTACCACCCGCTCGCATTACAGGAATCCGATTTCCAGGGGCTGAAAACCATTAGGGGTTTTTTTTCTTGCAAGTCTGCAATTATGAGCAACAATGCCACGCGGCACACCGTGGACGAAACATCTCCGCTCCTTGGCCGACCGGCTGGCAGCAGAACAGACCAGAAATCAGTGTTGTCTGCACAGAGTCTGAAGAAGCATTTCCAGGCTGATGTAACCAAGAATTGGGCAGATCTGGTACTGCTGTTTTGTTACATCATCACAGGATTACTAGACAGCTCTGCGGTCTTCATCTGGGGCTCCTTTGTAAGCATGCAAACCGGTACGTTTTACACTATTGTAAACTACACAACCAGCATCTCCCTCAAAGACCTATAAACTCACCCTCCCACCCAGGCAACACAGTCTACCTCGGTCTCGGCCTCATCGCGCCCACTGAAGGAATCCGCTGGCTCAAAGCGCTAACCTCCATCCTCTTCTTCTGCCTCGGAAGCTTCACCTTTGCCCGCTTCCACCGCCACTTCTCCCCCGCCAAGCGCTGGGTCCTCATCAGCTCCTACTCCTTCCAAACCAGCCTCATCGCCCTCGCCGCCTCCATCGTCACCTTTGGCAACCCCCCCTCCCCCTCCACCACCAGCAACTCCCTCCACTGGCAAGTCCTCGTCCCCCTCGCCGCCGTGGCCTTTCAATCCAGCGGCCAGGCCGTCACCTCGCGCGCCCTGCAGTACAACGGCCTCACCAGCGTCGTCCTCACCTCAAACTACTGCGACTTATTCTCCGACCCCGACCTCTTTTGCTGGGGTCTGGGCAACGCCGAGCGTAATCGCAGGATGGCGGCGCCCGCGCTGCTGTTGCTTGGGGCCTGTGGCGGCGGGTTGTATGCCCATAGTGGGGTTGGGTTGGCGGGGGCGTTGTGGACGGCGGTGGGTTTGAAAGCGTGTGCGGTTCTGGCTTGGGTGTTTTGGAAGGCGGAGGGGGATGGTGTGGAATAGGGCTTGTGAACGTTGGCTTGTTGTCAAGAATTGGATTCTTTTTCTATACATCTCACCCACTCTCCATTGATACAGTACCAGCATCAGACTCACAAGCCACCCCCCTTTTTGTCTTTTGACAAACACTCCCATCCCATCCCATCCCAATCCAATCGAAATATTCCATCCACACATGACCCCCACATCGACATCACACATGGTCTCATCCATATCCAAAGTGTTGTATCCCCATCCCTTTTGCTCATGACATCAGTCTAGCGCTATGTTGACTAGAGTGTAACATTTCCCTCTTGCAGATGACCATTGTAGAATTTTACATGGCGGGATTGATTGTCGTGCTGTGGCTATAACGAGACGACGACGGCAACGACAACACCAACACCAACACCAACACCAACACCAATACAATCAATTCGACAAGTCCATCAACCATGCAACCCCTATCCCCTTACTAAACACCCTACCCCCAGCAGCCCCGAGTAAAAACAAACTCGTCATCACATCTCCACGTCCACTGGCTGTACACGCCCAGATAGATAACAGACAGCCGCCTTGAAACCGCGAGGAAACCATTTTTTGAACTTGTACGTCCTTGGTCATGTACAATGAGTTTACTAGATATATGCACACATTCACCCTTCTAGAGCTTCTAGAGCTTCTAGCTTCTAGCTTACAAGTTGCGAGAAACGGAGAAAAAAAGGGGAAAAAAGGGCAAGGGAGGAGGTTCAAGTAGAGCCGGAGAGAGTAGCGTTTGGCTCGGGCTGGGTGGATTGGTGTGCGTTGGCTGGTTCGCCGGTGGAGGAGGGTTTGGTTGCCGATTTTTGGAAGGATTGGGTGAAGTCGGCGATGATGTCGTCAATGTGCTCGATTCCGACGGAGATGCGGATGAGGTCCTGATTGAGGGGGGGTTTGGGTTAGTATTGTCATTGTCATGTGATATAATATAGCATACAACACCGCTGCGACAAGGCGAGAGTGACTGGCCACCGGGGCAGAAAAAAAAAGCGACAAGGTAGACAAGACATACCTCTGTAACCCCCGAAGTCGCCTTCTCCTCATCACTCAACTGCTCGTGCGTCGTGGTCCAGGGATGAATGGCCAACGTCTTTGCGTCTCCCACATTGGCCAGATTGGAAACCAGCTTCAGGTTGTCCACCACCTGGCTTCCCGCCTTCCAGCCACCCTTGACCCCAAACGACAAGACGCCGCCAAACCCCCTCGTCAGATACTTCTTCGCCAGCCCGTGGGAGGGATGGCTCGCGAGACCCGGGTACGAGACCCAGCTCACGTTTTCATTGCTCTCCAGCCACTTGGCCAAGGTCAGCGCGTTGGAGGCGTGGCGCTCGGCACGCAGGGACAGCGTCTCGATGCCGATGAGGAGTTGCTGGGCCCCAAACGGGCTCAGGACGGCGCCGAGGTCGCGCTGGATTTCTAGGCGGGCGCGAACGGCGAATGTGAGGGGGCCAAAGGATTCCCAAAACTTGAGACCGTGGTAGCCGTCCGAGGGCTCCACCATTTGCGGGAACCGTTTGGCATTCTTGCCCCAGTCGAATTTCCCGCTGTCGATGACTACGCCTCCGAGAGTTGTGCCGTGGCCTGCAGGTGGGTTAGCGACCGGGTTCGACAATCGGTTCATGCATGCGGGTTATTAATAAAGTACCTCCGATCCACTTTGTAGCAGAGTGGACGACAAGGTCCGCGCCATGATCAATCGGCCGAACAAAGTATCCACCGGCGCCAAATGTGTTGTCGACAATGACTGGAACACCAGCATCATGTGCAATCGCTACAATCTTCTCAAAGTCGGGAACGTTGTATCTTGGGTTCCCGATGCTCTCAATCTATGCTTGCTGTTAGCCATCTCCTGTGCCATGGGAAAATAAAAATAAAAATCCGACAAAGACTCACGTAGACAGCCTTGGTGTTCTCATCGATTGCCTTTTTAAACTCCTCGGCATCGTCTCCATGGACAAACTTTGTTTTTATTCCTAGCCTGGGGAGGAAAACTTTGAATTGGTTGTACGTGCCTCCGTACAGGTTCGTCGTCGAGATGATGTTGTCTCCAGCATGCGCGAGCGTAGCAATAGCCACGAATTGCGCAGCCTGGCCGGATGAGGTGGCCAACGCAGCGACACCGCCTTCTAGAGCCGCCATGCGCTTCTCGAACACATCGACTGTGGGGTTTGCCAGACGAGTGTAGATGTTGCCAGCTTCTTTGAGGCCGAAGAGGCGCGCGCCGTGGGCCGAGTCATTGAAGACGTAGGACTGAAATTGTCAGTCGGAAGGGCATTGGAGTCTATGCGCGTGGAAGCCATTGGGACATACTGTGGTCGCGTAGATGGGGACGGCGCGAGAGTTGGTAGCAGAATCCGGGACATGGCCTTTTGAATTGATCCTTGTCAGCTGCACATGCCTGGTAGTCTTTTTGTGGAAGCCAGCTCACCTGCATGCAATTGCAGCGTCTCAAAGTTCTTGGACAATTCCTCGGCCATGGTGTCTGCTCGGGTCAATGGCAAGGCAAGAGGGAGATGGTTTGGAGATGAGGCAGAGGCAGGCAGTGTGTGTGGCAGCGCACTCGGAAGATGGAGGTATCGGCAAAGAAGCTGAGGAGTAACAAAGAAGAGGGGGAAGTAGGTCTGAGGTATTATTCTGCCAGAAAGTAATCGCGTCATGTGCCTCTTTCCCCCCCCACGCGTGGGTGCGGATCACTCCCTACCTACAAACTCTCTGCTGGTCGTTACCAATGCTTCGCACCGGTTCCTCCAATGCCATAGCTACGGATGCTTGGGACAACTAGCGTAAGCCGCGGCCCTGAGCCCAAGACCGTAATCAGTAGCCATTGTACTCGTGGAAAGCGCTGAACGAGTCTGCTGCTGAGTCAAAGAAATCTGTCATACTTGCGCTTTTCGGTGCACACAGTACATGGGGGAGGGGGATGGAGGGGCGCTGGGCAACGATGGCGTGCTTGAGGTTGTGGAGGGGTAGCCACGAAGCTATCCTCGCCTCCACGACAGCCAATTTGGGACTAGCGGATTGCGGAATGCCGTGGATCTAACCCCTTCCCGGTCTCCAGCACACGCGGCCTCGCACTATACACGTCAAAACAACTCCAGGACGACCAGAGTAAGCACCGCATTGCCGTTCAAATTTGTCTGCCATCCTACGCTACGATCTAAGCAACAAGATGCCTCCCCTTGTCATTGTAACCGCAGGAAATCCACGGCCTGATCTGGCAATCATCCGTGTCATTCGTTATCCAAAACACACACACACACACTCTCTCTCTCTCTCTCTCTCTCACACACACACTCTCTCTCACTCTCACATACATACTACACCATTCGAACCAACAAAATTAATACTGCCAATGAAATAGGCCGTGAGGCAACTGCACGGACCTCGAGTAGATCCGCACATGGGCTAAAAGAATCAACATGGTAATCGAGGCCGAGAAACTTTTTTGCGTGACTCGGAAGGGAGCGTAGAGATGGGCAACAAACATGGAAAATGGATACGGGGACAAGAAACGCAAGACAAATAGGAGATGGTGGTGGTGGTGGTGATGTTCGTCGTCATGCTTGGATGGGGGTATAAATAACGTCTCGGGGTCGACATTACATATTCAGCATTCGTGACAGTCCGATTGCAAACATCCACGAAAAGGAGCGCAATCAAAATCAAGGGCCGATTACTCCAGGCGAGCCAAGCCGACTATTCCCAAACCCGTGTGCGCGATAGTGTGATGCTAGCTATACAAACAGTCAGCATCATCGCTTCAGACGGCGACTTCGGGTACATGACGTTGTCGCTGGGTGCCGTCAGCTCGGCGGTAGCTCATAGCAGCCCGATCCATTGGTTCTTCCATGTCCGGTGAGTCGCAACTGTCATAGCTGTAGCCTTGGCCGGAAGGTTGAGGTCGAGCGCCTTGCGTCAGACGTTGATTCACGTGCTGCGTGTCAAAGGTACTGGAAAACGAGCGCTTTTGCCCGGTAGAGGCAGACATGGGCGGTAGGCCTGGAGGCATGTATTTGGGCATTCCGTAGTTTTGACTTGATCCATCCGAGTTGACCGATATGCTAGCCGACATGAGGCTAGGCGGCGAGTGGTACGAGGGTGAGACGGGTTCCAGCTTCTCGCTGCCAATCGGGGGCTGCAGCGTTCTCAGATTAGGCAAGGCGTGGCCGTTGGTGTTGTGCAGGTTGCTGGCAGAATGTGCTTGTGGGGAAGTCTGTATAGGCTGGACAGGCTGTGGCCGGTTGTACTGATCCATGGCGTTGTACGGCGGAATCATCTGGTTGGGGCCGGGGTACTGCTGTGACGGTTGGGAGAGGGAAGAGCGACGATAATCTGGGGCATGGCTATAATCATGAACTGACTCGGATTGCCGAGGCGCTTGATCATAGTGAGAGTGCTGATAGGATTGGTGACTGTAGGGCTGGTTCATTTGCATTGGCTGCTGACTCTGGTAGGAGCTGTACTGCTGCTGATGCTGTTGAACCTGTTGTTGCGGGTGCTGTTGCTGGTGCTGCTGTTGTTGATGTTGTTGTTGCTGTTGCTGTTGCTGCTGCTGCTGTTGCTGTTGCTGCTGCTGGTGAGAGTACGAAACTGGAATCTGAGGCGGCTGCATTACAGGGGCGGAGGGCACAGCCGGGTATTGATTCTGATACTGGTGGTTGTTGGATGCGTAAGAGGGCATCTGATGATAAGCAGTATTCTGGGGCGGCGGCATCTGCTGATAATGATTCTGAGACGGGTAGGACTGGGCCATGTCGTCCACGCTTGGTCTACGAGCAGGAACCAAGGAGCTGTTACTAGCGTTTGAAACGGAGCGGGGTCGATCATCCATCGGGACATTGGGTGGCTGGCCATAGTTGTCGGGTGTCGCAGTGCGTCTAGCTTGGTCGTAGCCTCCGCCTTCCTCGTCGTACTCGCCCCAGTCTTTGGATGACTTGTTCTCGCGGCGCCTCATCCTCACGTCACGACGGATGCGAACACGGCAGCCCTGCTCGGCGACCATGCGACTCAGAGAAGTGCTCTCGGAGAGTCCAGGGAACTTCTTGGCGGAGAAGACGGTAAAGGGAGCCGATTTGACTTCAGCGCGGTGGGTGACGAAGTGGTTGCCGTCGAAGATGACGTCCGGGTCCTCTGGATCCAAGTCTTTGACCTCGCTGAGGTTCTCAAAGAGCGCGAAGCTCAGCCTGTACTTTCCCTCGTGGCGAACCGACAGGTCTGGGAAGATGAAGTATCCGGCAGGCGTGGGTCGGTCCAGGTAGGCCATACCAGCCACAGGCGTGCCGGTTAAAACGGGAAAGCTGGGCGTGGCAGGCGGCGCACGGCCCTGTGCCATGTTGCGGGCATTCTCCAGACTCGCATGCAGGAAGAAGTTTGCATTGTAGGCAAAGGTGATGTCCTGTTCATTCTCAAAGACGCGAAGCTCTACAATCGGCGGAGGATCGACAGGGCGCCGGTCAGCACTTGACTTGGCACCGCTGCCACAGGCGCGAGCGCGCTCCGGCTGCTGAATGACGTGCAGACTGTAGCGAATCTGCCTGCCATCCTTGGTGGTGCGCAGATAGGTGCTTTTGGTCTCGTTGCTCACCACGAGGGTGCCGTTGGAAGAAGCCATTGGTAGGCTTAGGGTTGGTGGTGGTGGTGGTGGTGGCGGCCTGGCCCAGTCAGCACCATGAAGTGGAGACGATAAGCGTCTCGATGGGCTGGCTGCTCTCGAGTCTGGACCGGTGAGAGAGCGGGAGGATGGGAGAGGCAGACTCACAGATGGACGGATAGATGGCAGCAGTGGATGGATGGACAGGCAAGAGGCGAGGCCAAAATAAAGTCCCACTACCGGGACGAATACCAATGTGCTGTGCTGCGTTAGCCCAGGCGATTCATGTGATTGCGATGGATGTGGTGCGCAAAGCCTATGCGGGCGCGTGTCGGGGGAACCGTCGGCGCGGCTGGCTGGCGAGGAACCCAATGCCACGCAGCCGGCACCGTGACATGACAGCCAGAGGTGGGAAGAAGAAAAGAACTCACCGATGATGTGCAAAACTCAATCAAGGCCACTGGCAATGCGACTGGTGGGGATGGAGTGATAGCGATGGGTGCGGCGTGGTGATGGGAATGGTGGTGTTGTGCGAGGGGTTCGCAGAAGAGGAAGAGGAAGGAAGAGGAAGAGGTCGATGGCTGGTGTGCTGCGCGATGTGGGTGTTGTGCTGCTTGTCGGTGCGAAACGCGTCTCCTTTGAAGGCCGAGGCGAGTTGGGGAGGGCCTGGAGTTTCGAGGATGGACTGCGAATACTGAATAGAAGAACGACTGAGTTGCCGTCTTTGAGAAAGGATGGATGACTGCAGCCGGTCTCTCCCTCTCTCTCTCTCTCTCTCTCTCTCTCTCTCTCTCTCTCTCTTGCTCTCTTGCTCTCTCGCTTTCTCTCTAACTCTCTCTCTCTCTCTCTCTCGTGTTGAGTGAGGTCGAGGTGAAGTGTAGAAGTGGAGGAAAGCTAGACGAGCCAGGCAGGTAGGTGGTGGTAGTAGGCAGAGGGGGAGTAAGATATGGGAGATGAGCGCTGTTGGGGCGGGAGTCGGGGCCTTGCTGCTGCTGGGGGGGGCTGCTGCCAGAGGCCATCTCTTTGCCTGGCAGTTTTAGTCTACCGGGGAGGATCCCTCTTTGTCGACGGCTGGCGGCTAAGCTCAAGGTAGGGTTGTGGGCTGGGTACGCAAATCTGGGGGGCCAATCATCCAATCGCATTCCCGGCTAGTGGACGGACAGGCTGTGGACAGGCGGCTGTGGACAGGCTATGGGTAGGCTATGGGCTGCACCACTCCACACCGCACTACATCACAGCATCCTCTCCCACTGTCCAGTCTGCCCATCGCTTTTTGCTGCGCGATCCAAGGCGCATGCAGTCACGGGGAATGCACCGGAGTCTGGGGCAGAGAGAGGAGGGCATGGTAGGGGAGGGGAAGGGGAACCATGTCGCTGGACGGCATGTATCTCTTGATCTTTCCCCTCTCCTCTCCTCTCCACTCCACGCCTCTGCCCTCGGTGTCTCATACGCGCTGGCATGAGCATGGCGTTGGGTTGCATGGAGGGCAGTGCAGCAGGGTCGGTGGATGGGACGTACCACAGCAGGCTACTTTGCAATCAACATGGCACTGCACTCTACTCTCTTCCTTGCATTCACTGGCAGTCCTGCACCGGCTCCCGTTATGGCTCTGGCTCCTGCACTGGCAGTCTGGCACCGGCTCTCGTTATGGCTCTGGCTCTGGCTCTGGCTCTGGCTCTGGCTCTGGCTCTGGCTCTGGCTCTGGCTCTGGCTCTGGCTCTGGCTCTGGCTCTGGCTCTGGCACTGGCACCCTGTCCGTCCGAGATTGTGGGCAGACAGGGCCTGACTCGCACCGCCGTCTTTTTTGCGGATAGCACAGGCGGGGCAGGGCGGGAATCAGGAAAAGAGAATGGCATGGGGGCTGCGAGAGTTTACGCTAACCACTCGGCCCACCACCGATGAGACGGTCGGTCCTTGCTCCACCCCATCCGTTTCTGCTGGCTCCTTCGTGGACAGATACACCATCACCAAGTACCTACCCTGTCGAGCAGCTACTTTGTCCTCGCTTCGCTGGGCTGTGCTGTATCCTATCATGGCAGATTCACACACTCCACCGTGACCCCCCAGCACCACGGTGGGACGAGTGCAGACTTGCTGCAATGCCAGGGGGGTTCTCCATCTGCCTTGTCCGTACCCAAGTTGTAACCATGCTCCGTGGCGCTCTACCTGCCGTGCGACAGGACAGGCAGGATAGGAGAGCACAAGACTGCGAAAATGGCCTGATCATGGCCACCCGCACCACACGCTCTCTCTCTGTCTGTCTCTGTCTCTCTCTCTCTCTCTCTCTCCAACTACACACACATTGTCATTCCCCCCCTTGGATGGGGAGCACCCGATCTCTCCTCCCATGGCGAATCCCTCCCATGTGTACGATGGTAAGCGTTTGATGGAGGCTTGCCCCATGCACAATCCCAAATCTACCCAGATCCACCTCATCTGACCCCATGAACGGTGCTTATTCATGCGCCGCAACTCAAAACGCTCACCATGACCCGGCCCTGGAAGCCAATGGCCAACGAGGCGGTTCCCAGCCGTGCACGCACTGGGCAAGCGCTGGCCCAGCTCTGTAGCTCTGGACTCTCTCTCTGCTCTCTCTCTCTCTCTCTCTGCTCTCTCTCTCTCTCTCTGCTCTCTCTCTCTCTCTCTGCTCTCTCTCTCTCTGCTCTCTCTCTCTCTGCTCTCTCTCTCTCTCTCTCTCTCTCTCTCTCTGCTCTCTCTCTCTCTCTCTCTCTCTCTCTGCTCTCTCTCTCTCTCTGGCCGGCCGAGGTGAACAGTGGCTGGGACGGTAAAACCCTGCTGCCCAACTGCTGGATGCGCCAAGGCCCCCATCGCATTCCCGCCCTTCCCTCTTTCCCACCTTGCATCCACGCTGCCCCATTGGCTCGCTTGACAGTCGACTCTTCTCCTCCACACGGGAGGGCGTACGCCCACGTTAAGATCGTCGCTTGCT